AAAACCCCAAAACCCCAAAACCCCAAAACCCCAAAACCCCAAAACCCCAATACCAAGCCAAATATTGATTGGTTAACTACTTCTAAGAAATTTTTAGCTATTTATGGGTCGAAAAGGTTTCTGGATCCCATGATGCTCTTTGGGTCGAGTTCAGACTTGACACTTCTCAGCATTCTAATACCAGTTTCACCGACGACTTCATCCATGAAGGACTTTCTGATCTTTCCAACACCGTGATGATGTGAGAGAGCTCCTCCACATCTGAGAATCTCATCTCTAGCGTCATGTTCTACTTCTTCATAAGCATGGAGTGGATCTTTGAGACCTTCAAGAGAGAATCCGAAGTAGACATAGATAGTGCAACCAGTTTCATAGACTTGGGTGACTCTTCATGAGACAAAGACGAATCCTTGAACTCCCTTGTTCCTTGCAGAAGCGTAGACTCTATCCTTAACATTGTAGCACAATTTGTCCATCTTATCCCATGGAACTGAAGCTTCAAAGCTCTCAGCGATGTAGTTGTGATTACAAGCAAAATCTCTGAGATAAGCTATGACGAATGTGAGGAAGTATCCTCTAATACCATTCTCTGGTCCGGCTTTCATACCGTGGTACTCCTTTGCAAGCTTGTAGATGAAAGTTTGTTGCTTGTCAGTCTTCTCTTTAGTACCTTCAAACACTAGAGTACAAGCGCACATGGATTCTTGGTCGAAACCTTTGATCTTCAGGACGTAGAATTTCTTAATTTTATCCAAGATTGTTTGCCATCTAGAATCACTTTCTGGCTTTAAAGCAACTGCGAATTGGAATTGGAGGTTATCTACCAATCTGATTGATGCAGGCCAGATCTTGCTTCTTCCAACCTCTCTCATGAACTTGGTTCCGCTGTCGAAGTCTGGGAAGACAATTGATCCATAGACCTTAGCTTCTGGTACTTCTCTGACTCTGAGAACACACTCAGTAATGACACCCAAATTTCCTTCTGAACCGAGGATGAAATGGTTCAATTCAGGCCCATGAGAAACTCTTGGGCACTGGTTGTACCTCTCAAAGGTTCCGGTTGGAGTAACAATAGTGATAGCTTGAACAATGTCTTCAATATTTCCGTACTCATTCTTCTTCATTCCTGAAGCCTTGGTGGAAATCCACCCTCCCAAACTAGAGAATTCGAGAGAATCTGGCTCGTGACCAAGTACAACATCGTATTTCTCGAGCTCTCTGTTGAGATCGGATCCAATAATTCCAGACTCAATACAGGCAGTCATGTTAGCTCTATCAACCCACTTGATCTTATTCATCCTGGTCATATCTAAAGAGATGATCATCCTTGTCTCGTCATCTGGGAGCTCAAGGGCTTGGGTGACGTTTGTACCTCCACCATATGGAACAATGACGACATTATTTTCATTTGCCAATTCGACTATCTTTTGGACGTGTTTTGTAGATCCAGGATAGATAACACAATCGACAAATCTCTTGAACTTTCCGTATCTGAGGGAGAACACATCCTGCAAGCAGTGACCATGAGAATGCATCATCCTCTCCTTATCATCAAAACTAATCCTTGAGAAATTGTAATCCAAAGAATCCAAAAATTCCTCATTAAAGGTAGGAGGATCTACATCCATAGCTTTCTGTGCAACAGCTATTTTATCAATATCAATGCCAATCTTGCTTTCAGCCCAGGTCCTAAAATCAGGCATGAGCTTTCCACTGAAGACATATCTATCCCCTGTGAGGCCGACTTTGCCTGTTTTGTCATCAATGACGAACTCTGTGTCCTTAAAGCCCCATCCTTTCTCTTTGAACCAGTCTAGCTTGTTCCTGCCCTCTCTGTAAAGCAGATCGATGGTCTGATAATTACCATTCTCATCCTTCAGCTTCTGTTGTGAAGAAGTATTGTTCACCTTGATTCCTAAAATCTGATGCTCCAGGAGTTTTAGTCTTCTTAAAGCTTGCTTTTGCATATTTGCCGTTTAAATTAATTTATCAAAGTCCTAGTAATTGTAGGGGTTTTGGGGTTTTGGGGTTTTGGGGTTTTGGGG